ACCTAAAACATGGAAAGGGAACAAATTCTATTTCATTGATGACTCAATGATGAGTACAAAGACAAGCCCTTCCAGGCTGGGTCACACCATACCCAATGGTGTCCTGCAGTCGCTGCCCTCCCAGGCTCTGCCGCCAGCCACCAGGTCAGGGACATGGTGAAGGGAAGGCACAGCCCACAGACATGCACATTGGCTTCGCATGGTCTGTGAAAAGGGCTGGCCGACGCCCCACACTGTTCTAAACATTCAGAGCCAACAAAAACACCTTTAAAAATCTTCTCCAAGGAAAAAACTTTCCATTATTGCTGTAGAATTTTCTGACTGAGACACTCAAAAACAAGACGCCCAAAGAGGCTGGGCCTTGCAGGGTGCAGGGATATCTGAGGAGTTGTGGGGCTGCAGACTTCCCTTCCCCAAGTCAACTGCTGATCCCAGCACAGCCTTTAATTCCATCCGAAGGGGAAAACCGTGACAAGCCATCCATAATTGCTACTTGCTTTGGGCAAGATCGTGTTCAGAAAAATCCTTGAGCTGCAGCTTTAAAGTGAAGCAGAATAAAGCAATGAAGAAATGACTGGGCTCAGCACCAGGAAGAGACGCATTCATTAGCGCCGTCCTCCCCTCCCAGCAACCCGGCCAGCTGGCTGGCAGTGCCACACTGCTTTCCTGTCCATCAAGGAAATAAGGTAGCCCATTCCAGAAATGATGCCAACATAGCTGTTTTGTCATGACCCAGACGCTTCAAAGCCCAGAGAAGGCATCAGATCTCAGAAACCATTAGTGACTCCAACACCCAACAGAAACAGAGTAAGAAGACAGACAGACATGTTTGAGGCTTCGCTCGCGCTCAATCAATGCTCCTTCAAAAGCCACGGCTCAGGCAGGATGATGGCATTTAGCCTCCTCCTCCAGGGGAGCCTCTCTGGCCCATTCATGCATTAATTAATGAACTGGCAGATGAGCCCACTGAGCAGAACATGTGATTTTGAGTGCCTAGAAGCTGGCAGAAAGCATTAAGCTTAACATATCTCAAAGTCCCCAATAACAGAGTATCAGAAAGTTTGGATCTTACTAAAATCCAGCCTATTTTTGCTACTTCCTGCGTCAATTTTTGGACTTAGTCATAGCTTAATGTTTTCTAGCTTGCCCATATGATTTCTCTGCTTTACTTACTTTCTTCTCTGGCTGTTATTAGCAGCCCTGTACTGCGCTGACCCAGCCTTTCTGCTCCCCACCCCGCCACCCCCTAATAACTCCCATATCCTCCTTTCCTCCTGCCATCTCCCCTTTGCCAGCTACATAGTAAGTGCTTTGCTAGGTACCCAAGATGTGGCAAACCCCAAGTGCTGCAAAGATAGGAATCGTGTCTATGTGAAGGGAAAAGGTGTTCTAGACTTCCTGGGGATGTCATGGAGGATTCCCTGCAGGACTGGGGGCTGAGTGGAGCCAAGGTCAGAGGGGAGATTGGCAGGGGCACAGCTTGCCAGGGGAGCGGGATGCTGGTATAAATACCCTACATAGGAAGGGCTGGCCACAAGGCAGGGGTGGCTGAGCTGAACATACCTGGGGACCCTGCAGTGACTCCAGACAGCAAAAGGAAGTCAGCAAAGGGGGCCAGGGATGAGAAGACCACATTTGTGCCTGCAAACTCTCTCCTTGAAGGGTGCACATAGCTGAGAGTGACGTCATGATTTATGCCCATTCTGGTCCTTCTGTGCCCCAGGTTGCTAGTCCCACCCTCCTTCCTTCCCTGGTGATTGTTGGTCAGGCCAGAGTGCACTTTGGCTGATATCCCTTCCTATGTACCAGAGAGGGGGTGGAGGACAGTCCTCCTCTTGACTCCAGGCAGGTCTCTGCCCACTGCAACCAAGTGAATGTGGTAAAGGGCTGTTCTGGGACCCCCATGCTCAGTTTTTAAGAGGCCCAACCACCCCAACTACCTCCTCTGGAGCACTTCCAGCCACCATGCTGGAGGATGCCTGGTTCTTCAGAGGAAGTCTGAGAGGACTGAAAAACTGAGGCTGCAGGCTGACAGCCACGGCCAAGCCCACCAGGGAGTGCACCCCTTGGGATGCCAGGCAGTGAGCCCCGGCCCTCTGCTGTCTGCCAATGTCATGTGACACTAGACAATCAGCAACAGGGGTGAGCCAGCTGCACTGTGAAGAATACCAGTGGTTTTCTTTAAGCCACTGGGTTTGGGGTGGTTTGTTCTAGAGCAATAGGTAAGTGACATTATACCTACTATTGGCTTAAATATTCTCTGTAGCCCATTTGATTTCATATTATGTTCATGTGGATATACAAGCCCCATATTTAGCAGTTACTTCAGAAAGGAAGTCCCTCAACAAACAAGGCAGCCTCTACACCCCCCATGGGGTCACACTGGGGAAGCGGGAAGGGGAAACAGGTCTGGGCTCTGTGGTGGGTCAGGCCTGGGGGTGGGGGTCGCACTGCTCCTGAGGACCTGGTCCGTGCTGACATCTCTCAGACAGAGACTGTTCTATTTTTGCTCCTTGAAATTCAGTTACAAGTTGGTAACTCTTCTCTATTCAGAGAGCACTGGAGTCACTCAACATTTTGTGTTTTGGAGTTAAATACACATAAGCAATATGCACCGTCTCTAACAGTCTCATTAGGTTTCCACCATATCAGAAAATTCATTCCCGATTTCAGATTTAAATAAAACTAAATTGGAAACTATGAAAAACGTAGATATTTGTTTCTAAATGGTTAATTTACCATCTTACTCTTAAGCAGAAAACCTCATCATCCTGCCTGTCAAACTGTAACTGCCATCGCTGAATTCTGACACTCTTTGCCAAGTACCCGGCAAGGCATGCCACCCCATCTGCAGAGGTGTCTGTCCAAACTCTGTGCAGTTGGCATTTCTTCCGTTTTGCGAGGGAGACGGAAAGGTTGTAGAGATAGTTAGTATCGTGGCTTAAGGTTTACACCCAGACTTATTCTACTCTAACCCTTTTCCCATAAGCAGTCAAGTGCAGTGCCCCTATAGGGACTGAACTGTGTCCTCTTCCAATCCAGATGTTGAAGTCCTAATGCCCAGTGCCTTGAAATGTGACTCTATTTGGAGATGGAGCTTTTAAAGGGTGATTAAAGTAAAGTGAAGTCGTGAGGAAAGCCCAGATCCAACCTGACTGGTGTCCTTACAGGAGGGTTATGGCACAGACAAGCCCTGAGAACAGCTATCATGAAGACTGTGAAAAGGCAGCCATCTATCAGCCAAGGACAGGGGCTCACAAGGAACCAGCCCTGCCAGCACCCTGACGTGTGACAGAATAAATTTCTGTTGTTGAAGGCACCAGTTGGTACTCTGTCACAGAAGCCCTATCAAAGGAACACAGCCCCCCAGAAACAGGTGACTCAGGGTCCAGGCACGGAAATGAACGTGCTTCACCCACTCCACTGGGACCACATGTTCCTCCTAGTTTAGACATTGTCAAAGCTCAACAAATTTAAGAAACAGTAAAGTGGCAGCAAACCAGAAGAGGCTACTCCTCTAAGTACAGGCCCAGTGATGCAGGTGGAATGTGACCACCAGAAGA